TAAAATTGGTGTTCTCCCATGTAAACTATCACTCAATAATTACATAATAAAAACATATATATATATATATATAAGATGTATTGATAATTATTGGTGATCAGAATGCAAAGTTTGGCAACAAAGAGGGCCAGTAGTTGGAACATATGGCCTTGGTGATCAAAATTATGCTGGAGATCACATGATAGAATTTTGCAAGACCAATGACTTATTCATTGCAAATAACTTTTTTTTTTTAACAACATAAAAGGTGACTCATGCACATGAACCTCACCAGATGGAATACACAGGAATGAAATTGACTACGTCTCTAGGAAGAGATGGTTGGTTGGTGCTATTAAGCAGGTACTGACTCATATCAACTCTATTTCAGAACAGAACGAAACACAGCCTGGTCCTGCACCAACCTCACAATCTTCGCTACACTTGAGCCCATTGCTGCTGCCACTGTGCCAGTCCATATCACTGGGGAGGTCGTTCTCTTTTCATTGACCCTCCACTTTACCTAGCATGATGTCCTGCTCCAAGGACTGGTCCCTCCTGATAATAGTCTGAAGGATGAGAGATGAAGTCTGACCATCCTGGCTTCTAAGGAGCATTTTGGCTGTACTTCTTCCAACATAGATCTGTTTGTTCTTCTGGAAGTCCATAGTGCTTTTAATATTCCCCTCCAATATCATAAATCAAATGCATTAATTCTTCTACAGTAGAAAAGCTCCGTATCATCAGCTAAAACAAGGCTAGGGGCTGACTGTGGAACAGACCGTACGTAAACTGCTCATAGGCAAGTTCAGGTTGAAACTGAAGAAAATTAAAACAAGTCTATGAGAGTCAAAATATAACCTTGAATGTGTCCTACCTCATTTTAGAGAGACCATCTCAAAAACAGATTTGATGCATTAGACACTAATTACCAAACCAGAAGAGCTGTGGGATGACATCAGGAAAACATCATACAAGAAGAAAGTAAAAGGTCATTTAAAAAAATAAATAAACAGAAAAGAAAGAAAAGACCAAAATGGTTGTCAGAATCGACTATGAACTTGCTCTCCAGCACAGAGATGCTAAACTGAACGGAAGAAATGAGGAAGCCAAAAAGCTGAACAGAAAAATTCCAAGGGCAGCTCTAGAAGGCAAAGTCAAGGATTATAATGAAATGTGCAAAAAACTGGAGTTAGAAAACCAAAAGGGAAGAACACACTCAGCATTTCTCAAGTTGAAAGAACTGAAGAATAAATTCAAGCCTTGACTTGCAATATTGAAGGATTCGATGGGGGAAAATATTGAATGATACAGAAAGCATCAGAAAAAAAATGAAAGGAATAGAGAGAGTCACTGTACCAAAAAAAAAAAAAAAAAAAAAAAAGATCAATGTTTAACCATTTCAAGAGGTAGCTTATGATCAAGAAGTGTGAGTACTAACAGAAGTCCAGGCCACACTGAAGGTATTGGCAACAAACAAGGGTCCAGGAATTGATGGAAAAAAAATTGAAATCTTTCAACAAACTGATGTAGCAGTGCTCACTCATCTAGGCCAAGAGACTTGGAAGACTTGGCCAACCGATTGGAAGAGATCCATACTGGTGCCCGTTTCAAAGAGAAGTAACACAATGGAATGTGTCATCGGACACAAAATATTAATATCACATGCACGTACAATTTTGCTGTTGCTGTTAAGCGTGATCGAGTTGGTTCTGACTCATAGCGACCCTGTATAGGGTTACCAAGGAGCAGTTGGTGAGTTTGAACCACTGACTTTGTGGTTCAAATCGGTCTTGCAGCCCAGTACATTATCCTGCAGTGCCACACTAGGACTCCAAATTTTGTTGTAGATAGTTCAAAAAATGGCTGTATCAGTACATTGACAGGCAACTGCCAAGATACTCAAGCTAGATTCAGAAGAGGATACGGAACTAGCGATATTGCTAACGTCAGATAGATCTTGGCTAAAAGCAAAGTCAGAAAGATGTGTTGTTGTTGTTGTTGTAAGTGTTGTTGAGTTGATTCTGACTCATAGTGACCCTATATAGGTTTTCTGAGAACCTGGTGAGTTTGAATCTCCCACCTTGGGGTTCAAACCAACCTTGAAGTTGAGGGCTTACCCTGTGGCACCACACCAGGACTTCAAAGCTTCTGACTGTGTGGATCATGACAAGCTATGGATAACACTGCAAAGAATGGGTATTCCAGAATATTTCATTGTGTTCATGAGGAACCTGTACATAGATCAAGAGGTAGTTGATTTCACACTACCAATGCGAGATATCAACCAGTTCACAAAATTCCTGAAGATTTAACAGTTGGTTCTCAGTTAATTGGAACCAGTCCCAACCCTCTGTTGCTTCCAGGGCAAATACACACTTAGATAAACAGCCTGGTGTGGCCCTGTGAGTTAATGCGCTGCTTGCAAAATCAATTTGAACCGCAAAATCGGCAGTCCAAACTCATCAGCTGCTCCTCATTAACCCTATGCAGGGTCACTATGGGTTGGAGTCAACTCAATGGCACTTAACAATGACAAACTTTCAGCGAGCAAGGTTGTATCATCTGCCTATCCTAAGTTGTTAATGAACCTTTCTCCAGTCCTGATGCCAGGTTGTTCATGTAATCCAGCTTCATGGACTGTTTGTTCAACATGCAGACTGAATAGTATGGTGAAAGAAATCAGCCCTTGGTGTTTTTGTTAAGTGCAGTCCAGTCAGCTCCTACTCATAGGGACCACATGAAGCTTTTCCACCATCTCTTTCTTCAGATGTAGTCAATTCGATTTCTGTGTATTCAATTTGATGAGGTCCATGTGTATAGTTGCCTTTTATGTTGTTTAAAAAAGGTATTTACAATGAAGAAGTCATTGGTCTTGCAAACTTCTATCATGCAATCTCCAGTATCATTTGTATCATCAAAGCCTTATTTTCCAACTACTGATTCTTCCTCTTTGTTTCCAACCTCTGCATTCCAATAACCACTTATCATCAATACATCTGTTTTATTTTTTTTTAAGTTTTCATTGTGAACTGAGTGATAGTTTACATGGGAGAACATTGGTTTTACATCATCATTTCATTGCAATGATTTCAATCTCTTCTCTGCATCATCATCCAACAGTATTTGCTTCTACTCCCTCTGGGTTGTTTTTTGTTGTTGTTGTTTTGGGGGGGGGTTGGTTATCAATACACCTTGATTGCATGTCTGATCAATTCAGTCTGAAGAAGTTGGTAGAATTCTTCAATTTCATCATCACTGTCTTTACTGGTTGGTGTATAAATTTGAATAATATTGGTATTAACTGGTGGTCCTTGTTTTGTTGTTGTTATTGTTAAGTGCCATTGAGTCGGTTCTGACCCATAGTGACCCTGTATCGGGTTTCTGAGGAGCAACTGGTGGGCTTGAACCTCCGACCTTGCGGTTCAAACTAATTTTGCAGTCCAGCACATTAACCCACAGTGCCGCACCAGGAGTCCTTGTAGGCATATGGATATAATCGTATCACAGACAGCATTCTACTTCACAGAACCACTACACATCTGTCAGTTGGTTGCACTGTGGTGTCTTGCGTGTTACTGGAAGCGTTGTCACCAGTATTTTGAATACTGGCCGATCACCCATGGTGGAGAGGTTTCAACTGAGCTTCCAGACAAAGACAGACTAGGAAGAAGGAGAGGTGGACTATTTCTGACTGTTTAGTGAAATAGTGAAATGTTTACTGAAAACCTTATGACTAGCAGTGGAACACTGTCAGCACCAGAATGTTGAGTCTTGAAACATGAGAAACAGTACCAGAATAATGTCATATATGTCGGAAAATGTCTGATAGAGCCAGCCCTCTCAATTTGGACTTTTAACATCCTAAATTGTGAAAAATTATATTTGTTTGTTAAAGCCCCCTCTTGTGGTATTTCTGGAAATACACTAGCTGAGGGCTCATCACTTCTCACTGTGTCTCATTGCCCACAGCAATATCTCCGCCTGCTCCAAAAACCTCCTGAGCCCTGTGACCCTCCAAGCCAATTACAGCTACATCATCCCCAGGTGAGTCTGGGACACCCCTGACGCCTCCACATAGGCAATCGCCCAGGGGGAGGAAATACACACGAAGATGGAAAATTGCTTCAAAGTTGCCACCTGGCTAAGAGTGCAAGCATGATGGGTGGGCGTGGTCGAGCCCAGGGCGGGGGCCCACCTGTGGCTGTCTGGCTCTTGAAATTGCAGAGAGAAGATGGTTGATCTCAGCCACCACATGGAGTCTGACCCCACCTGTGTTATTCAGGGGTCTCTAGGGAAGCAGAACCAGTATTATTTGTGTGTGTGTGTGTGTGTGCGCACACACACACAGAATTATATAAAGATCCCTTGTGGTGCACTGGGTTAAGCACTTGACTATTAACTGTGGGCTAATGCGTCAGACTGTAAAGTCATTTGAACTGCAAGTTCGGTGGTTCAAGCTCACCAGCTGCTCCTTGGAAACCCTATACAGGGTCGCTATGGGTCAGAATCGACTCAACGGCACTTCACAACAACAACTAATGACAAGGGCAGCAGTTCAAACCCCCCCAGCTGCTCCAAGTGAGAAAGATGAGACCGTGTACGCCCAGTAACCCTGTGGAGCAGGGCTACACTTTCTACCTGAATCTGAATCAACTCTAGCCATTGAGTTTTATATAAGGAGGCTTCAAAACCTTTGTGGGAAATTGCCACAATATTTTATTCAATGTTTGCACCAACTTCTAGAAGCTTCCTTCTGTTCGCTGTGATCCGTAGAGTTTTCATTAGCTGACTTTTGGAAGTCAGTCACCAGACCTTTCTTGTTAGTCTTTCATAGTCTCCGATGCTTTACTGAAACCTCATGGTTTTGTCATGGGAGACCCAATACCAGTGGCCTGGCTTTCAGTATCATAGCAACACACAAGTCACCACAGTAGGACAAATGGACAGACAGGGGCTGGGATCATATAACAAACAGAACCAAATGCTGCTCAGCCCTGTGTCCCCCTGGCAGTTCTTGCTTATTTCAGCCCATTGTTGCAGCTACTGTGGCAATTACCTCCTCAAGGGCCTTCCTCTTTTTCACGGAATCCTTTTTCACGGAATCCCCCGAGTCCTTCAGTTTGTCATCCTGTGGTCACCTAGAAGCTATACCATGGCTATTTTAAATACCAGCACCGTCACTCATAGTAGACAGGTTTAAGCAGAGCTTCCAAATTAAGAATAGATTTGTTGTTAAGTGCCGTGGACTTGGTTCCGACCCATAGCGACCCTGTACAGGGTTTCCGAGGCTGTACATCTTTACGGGAGCAGAACGCCTCATCTTTCTCCCACGGAGCCACTGGTAGTTTTGAACTGCTGACCTTAAGGTTCGCAGCCCGATTCGTAACCACTACACTACCAGAGCTCCTTAAGAATAGACTAGAAAGAAGAAATTGGCAGTCACTTTTGGTGGTGGTGGTTATGTGCCGTGGAGTCGGTTCCGACTCATAGCGACCCTGTACAGGGTTTCCGAGGCTGTAAATCTTTACGGGAGCAGAAAGCCTCATCTTTCTCTCGCAGAACAGTTGGTAGTTTCACACTGCTGACTGTGAAATTAGCAGGCCGATTTGTAACCACTACGCTACCAGAGCTCCTTCTGAGGGATTAGCCCCGGAGAATCTTATGAATGGCAGCAGAACACTGTCAGATATAGTGCCAGCAGATGAGCCCCTCAGGTTGGAAGGCACTCAAAATGCATCTGGGGAAGAAGAGCTTCCTCAAAGTTCACCATCATGCCATCTCCTTACTCTCCCACAGGGACAACTATGACCCCACCTTCATGGGTCGGAAGGCCACCAAAGACCTGAGAGTGTTTTACCCATATGACACACTGGGCTGTCCCCGCCTTGTCTACTACGACAGCCCCTGGAAGCCAGTAGTGGAATTGTAAGATGGGCAGGTAGGGGGGTGCATGTGGCTATGGAAGGGCCCTGTGTTTCCTCATCCCGGAGTCTCCTCCTGGCACTTTGGTCTCCCCATTGCCCTTCCTTTCTCGCCAACCCCACCAACCTCCTCCAGGCCCTCCCCAAGCCTTGCCTGTCCCCTGAAATGTCCCTGCCGCTCCCCAGCTCAGCACCATGAGCCCCTTGTCTCCCCACCTGTGCCCCTGTCCAGTCTCTGCTTTATCACCACAACCCTCTCTATCCCTGGCCGATGTGTATTTTTTTTCTTTCATAATATTTTATTGTAAGGGCTTACACAGCAGTTTGGGATCTCATTTAACCATTTCTACCCTAGTTGTCCAGTGACCATGATTACGTTCTTCACCATGTGTGGACATTCTCATGATTCTCACTTTGGTTGTTTTACATTCCTTCATCTAGTGTGCCTGTCCTTCCCTTCTCATTTTGGTCTTACAATCATTGTTGGCCATTTTGTCTCCTGTTGTTGTTGTTGTTGTTGTTGTGTCCCGTGGAGTCAGTTCCGACTCATAGCAACCCTGTACAGGGTTTCCGAGGGTGTGAATCTTTATGGGAGCAGAAAGCCTCATCTTTCTCCCGCGGAGCAGCTGGTAGTTTCGAACGGCTGACCTTGAGGTTCACAGCCCGATTCGTAACCTCTACACTACCAGAGCTCCTTTACTAGGGGTGGTAATATTTCGTTGATGTTCCAGTCTGTTATTTTGCTAAAAGATGATCTTGGGCTAGTTTCCCTTCCAAGTGGAGAGTCCTTCAGAGAAATAACCTCAGGGAGTCTGCTGGTCTGAACATTTTAAGAATTTGAGTTCTATTCTGTGTTTTGCCCCCTTTCGATCAGGTCCCACATGTAAGTTCTACATCTGTATAGGTGGTAAAAGCCCTGGTGGTGCGGTGGTTGAAGCATTGGACTGCTAGCTAAAAGGTCAGCAGTTCAAATCCACCGAGGGAGAAACATGAGGCTGTCTGCTTCTGTAAAGTCTTGGAAACCCAACTGAACACTTATACTCTGTCCTTGGGGGTCACTCTGAATCAGAAATGACTTTACGGCAGTGGGTCATGTGGGCGGTGAGTTGAGAACTCTGTGCTGCCTGGGCCCCCAGGTTCCACAGGGGCTGGAATCACGGTCACCTTGACCCCATTCTAGTGGCAGACCCATAATGCCCAGCAGAACATTTTTGTGATGATGGAAATGTCTACTCTGGGAGCTATGAGCTATATGTGGGCCCCAGCTGAGAGTGGCCAGTGCAGCTGAGGGGCTGGCTTGCTCCTTCCATTCCATGGTCGTCATTGTCAGTGACAATGCACATGGGATGGGCTCACACTTGGAAATATTTAAGTTCAGTAAACCTCACACCTTTGAAACACAACATACCAAAATCTTTGGGACATGGCAAAAGCAGTCCTGAGAGGACAATTTATTGCGATAAATGCACACATCCAAAAAGAGGAAAGACCCCAAATCAACACATTAACACAGCATCTTCAACAATTAGAAGCAGACCAGCAGAGGGAACCTACAGTCACCAAAAGAAGGGAAATAATAAAGATAAGAGCAGAAATAAATGAGATGGAAAATCAAAAAACTATAGAAAGAATCAACAGGACAAGAAGCTGGTTCTTTGAAAGGATTAATAAAATTGACAAACCATTGGCAAAACTAACTAAAGAAAAGAGGGAGAGGACACAAATAAATCGCATTAGAAACCGCATAGGTGAAATCACAACAGAACCAAACGAAATCAAAAAGATAATAACAGAATACTATGAAGAGCTGTACTCCAACAAATTTGAAAATTTGGACGAGAGGGATACATTTCTAGAAAAACATGACCTACCTAAACTTACTCGGATGGAAGTAGAAAAGTTGAACAAACCCATAACAAAAGAGGAAATTGACCAGGTCGTCAAAAAACTCCCGACGGACCATCAAAAGCCCAGGCCCAGATGGCTTTACGGCAGAGTTCTACCAAACATTCAGAGAACTGTCACCAATTCTACTCAAATTATTCCAGAACATAGAAGAGGATGGAAAACTCCCTAATACTTTCTATGAAGCAAGCATAAACTTCATACCAAAACCAGGGAAGGACATCACTAAGAAAGAAAATTATAGACCAATATCCCTCATGAACTAAACCTCACACCTTTGTCCCACGAGACCTTGGTCCCACTCCAGGTGAAATTGTGGGCATACAGCAGATGGCCCGGGCTCTTATGCTCAGTGGACACCAGACAGAGATGGATAAGAAAGGCATACCTTACCTTGACCCGGCTAGCTGGTGCTGCTACCACGGAAAGACCACGAGGGGACAGCTTTCACAAACAGAAGTGTGTTGTTTTCTTACAGATCAGGAGGCTAGACACACACATTCAGGGTACCAACTCTCAGGGAAGGCTTTCTCTCTCTCTCTTGGCTCTGGGGAAGGTCCCCGTCTTCCATCTTCCTCTAGGTCTCGGAGGTTCCCAGCTCCAGGACCCAAAGGCTGCTCTCGGTTCCCTACTGTTCTTTCTTGGCGGTACTGAGGTCCCTTTCATCTCCGCTCACCTGTCCAGTCTCTTTCAGATCTCAAAAGACATTGACTCCAAATACAACCTAGTCCTGAAGAGTGTGCCCTGCCTCATTGGCAGAGCTGCCTCCAATCCTGTCCCATTCACGTCTCATGTGTTGTAGGTGAGGATCAACAACACACGAGAACAGTACATCAGATGGCAAAATGGAGGGCAATTGCATGCTGCTGAGAGTCATGGGCCAGCCATATTAACACACATTTTGAGGCACAAAATCCTATCCATAACCCTCCCCCCACTGGGGATGCTGAACGAACCATAAAAGCAGTGGCCGTGGACTTGATGCAAACTCATGGAGCCCCCATGTGTGTCAGAGCAGAACTGCGCCCCATAATTCTCAGTTCAGTGGCTGTAGTCCTTCAGAAATGGATTACCAGGTTTTCCTTCCAGGGCCCCTCTGAATGGATTCAAACCTTCAACCTTTCTCTTAGTAGTAGATCATATTAACCAGGGACTCCAACAAACTTTAAACCCGTGCCAACTGTGAACCACGAGGCCGGCAGTTCCAACCCACCAGGACACCTTAGCTTAATAAGTAAACTGTTTCTCTTGAGCTTTCTCTTCTTTGAAGATGTACCTGTTGTTGTTGTTAAGTGCCGTGGAGTCGGTTGCGACCCTGTGTAGGGTTTCTGAGGCTGTACATCTTTACGGGAGCAGAAAGCCTCATCTTTCTTCCACGGGGCAGCTGGTAGTTTCGAACTGCTGACCCTGAGGTTAGCAGCCCAATTCGTAACCACTATGCTATCAGAGCTCCTTGAAGATGTGGAATCATATTTACAACAGTTATTTGATGGGTTAGATAGGAACCTCAGGAGGCATTGAATGTGGGTTCTTGGAGAAGGATCTAGGAGGAAAAGAAGAGTGGCTACCAGCTGCTCCGCGGGAGAAAGATGAGGCTTTCTGCTCCCGTTAAGATTTACAGCCTCGGAAACCCTGTACAGGGTCGCTACGAGTCGGAGCCGACTCCACGGCATATAACAACAACAACAACACAGCTTGAAAAATGTAATCCAAGTCACTGAATGATACCTGTAGAAATTATTGTTGTGTGTTCCACTGTGTATATTGTCAACGACAAAGTAAATGATTTTAAAACAAGAATTGACAATCCTACATGTTACCCTTCCGACATTTGCAAACCTCCTCAGAAAAACATGAGGTGCATTCTTTCCAGCCTCAGCTCACATGGCCCTTCATCTTATCAGAGAGGCCGTGGGGTATCACCTCGTAAAAAATACACAGCGCCCACCACCCAACCGTCATTCACCTGCCTGGCTCGCCCAGTACGGAGTGTCCCTCTGCCCCTTCCCTGCGCGAAGGGTCCGCTCTGGGAGGGTGAGGCCTTGGTCTTGCTCACTGCCGCCCCCTGTCGGACGGTGGCTCAATGACGAGTCTGGGTCCTGGTTGAGGTGCTCCCGGGGCCCGGCTCTGCGCTCTCTGAACCTAGTACGTATGTCCCAGGTGGAAAAATGGAAAGTTCCAGGAGGTGGTCGAAGCCGAGTATGTCTTGCTGGAGGTGAATGGGCTGTTCACGTACACGTACTCCCTGACAGCTGCCACCGCGTTCTGCAAATCGCAGCCGCAGAACTGGACCAGCATCTTGGCGGCCACTGGCAGACCCTTCTCCTGGGACCGAGAGGTAATGTTTACTCTGGGATTACTTCCAATCAGACGGCAAGGCCTGCGCATGCCCACTCATGGGGGGAGTTTGCACCGAGGTGGTCGCCAGGCATTGCTGATAACTGGCAAAATTCGGAAACATCCCACATTCTGAAACACCCCGTTACTTTGAAAACAAACCAAAAACCCAGTTGGCATCCATTCCACCCCCTGTGCATCAGAGTAGAATCATGCGCCACCAAATAAAAGGTCGGTCGCCAGGCCTTTCTTCCGACGTGTTTCTGGTGGACTTGAACTGTCAGCTTTTGGATTAGCAGGCAAACAAATTAGCCGTTTGCACCAAGGACCCATTAAAGCACAATCTGCCTGGTTTGGTAAGAGTTTCTGTCACTGACCTCAGTTTATACGCAATGAGCAAGTAATGGCACATCGGTAGAATGAAGAAAACTAGGTTGGTTCCCAATCGTGCGTTTTCCCGACCAACTCCTGTTTGCCTCAAGTCGGAGCAGCTGAAAAGCACAGTAACACAGCCAATGCCGCCAATAGGTGGCGCTCGCTCCCTGCACTTGACGCCCATGCCCGGGTTTTCCTCCCGACTCCACCCGGGTCTGCTTTCTTACCTGGGCAGCGTCAGTCCTTCCTCCTACCCACTTCTGTCCAATGAGTTTGATCAGTTTTTGTTGTGGGTTGTGGTGGTTCTACATTTCTTTTCTTTTATATTTTTGTGTGTGGTGAAAATATACTAAAGAAAACACGTATCAACTCAACCATTTCTACATGTAAAATTTGGTGATGACCTGTGTCTGTCTTCTAACTGCACCACCACCATCTGCATAAGCCCAGTGGCCCCTAAGGCTAAGGTTGGTACTGTGGGTTAAGCACTGGGTGGCCAACTAAAGGGTTAGCAGTTCAAACCCACACCTGGCCTCTCCACAGCAGAAAAATGAAGCTGGCTGCTCTGTAAAGATTTGGTCTTGGAAGAGCCGTACTACCTTGTCCTTCAAGGCCACTGAGTTGGAATTGACTCACTGACGGTGGGTTTAGAGTTTATTTTATTGGGAATGCCCCCTAAGCATGTCGCCGCCCCCCCCACCTGTGCAGATCACTCATAAGCTTTAGTTTCTGTACTTTGGTCTGAAAACGGTCCAGTATTCAATCACTCAGCCGTCAACCAAAGGACTCCTGCTGTGGCGCTGTCGGATAAGCACCGGACTGCGAACCACAAGGTCGGCAGTTCAAACCCACTAGCTGCTCCTCGAAAACTCTACACAAGGTCACTATGAGTCAGAGTTGACTTGATGGCCCTTCACCACCACCACCACCACCATCCAAAAAATCAGCAGTTTGAACCCACCTGGGGAGAAAGTCTACTTGTATAAAGAGTGTTGTTACTGTTAGGTGCCTTCCAGTCTGTTGTGATTCGTAGCGACCCTTTCTATTTACAACAGCATGAAACACTGCCTAGCCCTGGGCCAGCCTCACCATCGGTGCTGTATTTGATTGAGGTCTTTGTTGTAATCACTGTGTTTCCCATCTCATTGAAGACTGCCCTCTGTCCTGTAGGGTTGTGGTTAGATTCATCTCGGTGACCACAGATTTTATTCTCCTTTGGTCTCCTTCCCCTCAACATGGAGTTGGGGGTGAATGAGTCAAGAGGGCCTGCTGGGTCCGAAACCAGTGTTTGGTGTCTCTGGGCAGACTGGAGAGACTGGCTCGAGGCTTGTCTCGGGGAGCTGCCACCTCCACCCAGGTCAGAAAGCTGGGGATTTAGAAAGTTCTGCTGTGCTCTCAGACACCCAAGAGCTGCCTCTGGATGCCCACGATGGTGCCAGTGAAAACCCTCAGGCTCCCACATCATTCTCACCTTCCAGTTTCCAGGTGTATGAAACTGACGCCACCTGCTTCACACCAGACTCCTAGTTGCAAGGGAGTCTGGGAAACCAAGCTGTTACGCTGTTAGCTTCCAGCTCAGGAAGGCCTGGTTGGCGGAGGCTCAGACGAGGACCCAAGGCACTGCCCCTTCTGCGGGAACATGGGCCTGCTCATCCTCAGGCACCCTGAGGGGGGCTGATTTGTGGGTGTTGGCCAAGGGACAGAAAGCATGCCGCCTGAAGGTCTCTGTTCTCCTCCCCAGAACTATGTGAGCTGTCACCAATACACCTACAGCGCCCCCTTGAGGTGGCCAGGTGTCCCATATCAGATCTTGGGCGGTGCAACCAACAACAAGGTCGTTTTTGACCAAAGAAATGGAATGTACATCTTCCATCTGTCCATTGTGGATCCCTACTACAGGTGAGGGGGACTGTGGGGTGACGTCTTTTCCCAGTGCCCTAAGCCACCGTCTGCCACTCTCGGAAAAAGTCCCTCCCAGCAAATAATGCAATGTTGTCTGCCCCGCAGGCCTCAGGCCTGGACTGGGAGCAGCTCTGAGGAGAGAGGGAACTTGAAACTTGTCCTTAGCCACCCCCTGCCCCATGCTGTACTACCAGCAGCGTCCCCAATGCTGGAAGCCCCTCCTCTCCTGCTTCCCCACCCCCCATCCGCTGCCCACATCACCAGCTTGCTCTAAGATCCTCTCCAAAGCCCTACCCCTCCAGTGTCTTAACGGTGTGCAGGGGGTTGTAAATGGTTAATGTGTTCAGCTACTCACTGAAAGATCGGAAGTTCCAGTCTACCCAGGGGTACCTCAGAAGAAAGGTCTGGCAATCTACTTGTGAAAAACTAGTCATGGAAAACCCTGTGGAGCACAGTTCTGGCTGACACATCTGGGGTCACCATGAGTCTGAACACACTGGTTCTGGTGTCACCACATTTGACCTCGTGACTCTGTCATCCTGGGCTGAGTGGAAGTGGGAAGGGGTTTTGTGTTTTCTTTTTGCCTTGTCTTCACCGGGCTGAGTCGGGAGTGGCCGGGCACAAACAACAATTGGTGCCAAAGCTCAGAGAGAGCAGGGCGGAATCAGAAATGACAGGCACTGTGGAGCCCTGGTGTGGCGCTGCAGGATAAGCACTGGACTGCCAAACCACAAGGTCAGCAGTTCAAACCCATCGGCTGCTCTAAAACCCTATACAGGGTCACTATGAGTCAGAACTGACTTGATGGCACGCAACAACATGGACCCAAAAAGGACATGAATGGAGCGGGTTGTCCCCATACATGTGGGTTACTGGAATGGAGGGAGAGGCTTTGGGAGGCGCTGGCCCATGACCCGCTGTCCCCCCCCCCCCGTTCCTGCAGCTACTGCAGCCTGAAGACCACCTTCAGCGTCTACGTCTATGGGGCCTTCCCGCCGACTGTCATCCGCAAGGTGCCCTCAATTATCCTGCTGGTACTAAGCATGCTGCTAGCCCTGTGGCTGATCTATGCCATTCCCAAGATGTCACACTTCAAGACAGGTATCTGGGGCCAAATGCTCCAGGGTGACAGAAAGCCAAGCTCTGGCGTCCCAAGCAGTCGCTGAGCACACAGCCAGCAGGGGACTGAGGAATCCCAGGAAACAGCTTTGCTTCCAGGTCCAGATCATTGTTTCAAAATAAAGGATTAATGAGAAAAGCTGGTGGCGGCGGTTTACAAACCTCTAGGAGCCCTGGATAAAAGGAGCTCTGGTAGCGTAGTGGTTACGAATCGGGCTGCGAACCTTAAGATCAGCGGTTTGAAACTACCAGCCGCTCCACGGGAGAAAGATGAGGCTTTCTACTCCTGTAAAGATTTATACCCTCGGAAACCCTATACAGGGTCTCTATGGGTCGGAACTGACTCGGTGGCACTTAACAACAACAACAGGAGCCCTGGATGGTATGCAAATGGTGACCATGCTTGGCTGCAAACCAAAAGGTTGCAAGTTCAAATCCACCCAGAGGCACCAAGAAAAGTCCACCAATGACCCCAGCCAACCTAGTACCATCGAGTCGATTCTGACTCAGCAACTCCTTAGGACAGCTTAGAACTGCTCCTTAGGGTCTCCAGGCCTGTAAGCCTTTGCAGGAGGACACAGCCTTGTCTTTCTCCCGCCACGGCACAACCAAAGCAGAAATAATGAGGAGGTTGGCACAATGCCACTGATTGATCGAGAGATCTAGAAATGGGGGGATGGGAGCAGGCTTTACTGTGCATGGTTTTTCCAAAAATAAGAGAAAATCTTAAACAGAAACCAACCACTGAAAACGTCTTGCAGTGAGTGCAGTTCTAGGCTGACTCACGTGGGGTCGTCATGGGTTGGAATCGATTCCCCAGGAACTGCAGACTCCGCAACCCTGGACCGCCGTGTGGATATCAAGATGGTTCCTTTCAGGGTGTGCCCTCCTTCCACCTTTTCTCCAAGACACCCCAATCTTGATCCTCAGAAGACTCTTTCCCACAAACCAGCAGGTGTGGGCCTTCATCCCAGAATCCAAGTATTAGGAGAGCATTTGCTACTTGGGCAAGGAATGGGGAGAGGCCTGAGTGGGACTCAGCCCATGAACTTGCTCAGAGGTAAAATGTTCCTCAGACCACAGCTGAGGAACTTGGCTTGGCTGACCCAGTCTCATTGATCACCTGTTCTTGTAAGTTAGTTGCCATGGAGATGCCATGCATCTTGTCTGTCCCGCACCATCCCCATCAGTAATGCGTGGGACCCTTAGAATCTGTAGGGGTTCCTGGACTGATTTTTGGAAGCTAATTGCCAGGCCTTTCTTCCTGGTCTGAGTTTGGAAGTTCTTCCGAATCTGTTCAGCATCACAGCAACATACAACTCTCCATAGACAGGTGGGTGGTGGCTGAATCCAGGTCTCCCACATGCCAGGTGAGCATTCTACCTCAGACATACTTTCATTTGTTGTTGTTAAGTGCTGTTGAGTCATTTCTGACCTATAGCGACCCTGTAGAGGGTTTCCAAGGAGTGGCTGGTGAGCTTGAACCACCAACCTTGTGGTTCAAACAACTTTGCAGTTCAGCGCGTTAGCCCGCAGCACCATACCAGGACTCCATATACTCGGTGGTTGTGGTTGTTATGTGCCGTGGAGTTGGTTCCAACTCATAGCGACCCTGTACGGGGTTTCTGAGGCCGTAAATCTATACGGGAGCAGAAAGCCTCATCTTTCTCCAGCAGGAACAGCTGGTAGTTTCGAACTGCTGACTTTGTGGTTCGCAGCCCGATTCATAACCACTACGCTACCAGAGCTCCTTCCATGTACTCGGTGGGAGGAATTAAATGGATTTCTAGACACTTGACCAGGCCCACGTCTTTCCTCATCACACAAATGAAGACAAATTCTGCAGTCATTTACAATTGCCCTACAGCGTCTCATAGAACACAGTGGCAAGTGTAAGGGTCCTTCCCGGCTGGCCCTGTCCTGCCTGCCCCCCCCCCCCCCCCGCCAACCCAGTGTTCTGAGTGCTGGTGGACACAGATGTATGTATTCATTCCCTGTGAGACAACTCTGGGTCTCACATCAACATTGTCCCCCTCTCATCGGGGTCTCAGGAAGAGTGTGCCACCCACGGCAGTCAGATTCACCATCTCGGCTCATGTACCCTGGTGGCACAAATGGTTGGGACAAATAACTGTAAACAGGAGATCTGGTGGGGTGACAGGAGCGTGGCTGATAACCAAAAGCTAAGCAAATACAAGCTTAGTGGATTACAAGTTGGGCTGCTGTCCACGAGGTCAGCAGTTTGAATCTACCAGTCACTCCACAGCGGGAGAAAGATGAGGATTTGTTGATGTTGTAAAGATGTACAGCCTTGGAAGCCCTATACAGAGTCACTATGAGTCGGAACCGACTCCACGGCACACAATCACGGTTCCTCTGGAGAAAACCCTGGCAGTGTTTCCGTCAAGATGACAGCCTAGGAAACCTCACAGGGCAGTTCTCCTCTGTCACGAGACCACTTAAAAATCCAAACTTGACTAACAACACATTAGCCTAAAGGTTGGTGCTTCAAACCCATCCAGCCGTACAGCAGAAGAAAGACCTGGTGATCTGCTTCCATAAAAGTCCAGCCAAGAACACCCTGTGGATCAGTCTCCTGGCACGTGGGGTCGCCATGAATTGGAATTGCCTCAGTGGTCACATGTCTGGTGCTTTGGGCTTGTTTTCCCTTCATCTCCCATATCCTCAGTTCCCCTTCATCTGTAACTTCCGTGCATCCGTGTGTTTTAGCTGGGCTGGCTGGTGACCCCCCCACTCACCCAAGTCCCTCTCTCCTTCCAATCTGGGCCTGTCACTCTCTCCCCCCACCCCCCCAGGCCTTCCCTGGTTCTGCTCACGTGGTTTTAGTCTCAACTACAAGACTGCAGGGCAGGACACAGGGGAGTGGCTTAGCTGACAGCACCATGGCCTGAAGCGGGGTCTCAGCGACCACTGCAAACTGTCACCCTTTACTGAGCCCCTTTAGGGATTCCAAGGAGCTGACCCTGGTACCGCCCCCAGCATAGTGCTGGGGTCAGACTATACGCAGCCCCCAACTCTGCCCTTGCACCTCACCTCCAGGACAGGACCCCAAATAATAAGGCTCATTAGACAGGAAGATCTCTGATGACCCCTCACAGAAATGATGGGCTACTGGGATCAGGCCTTATTCCCCAGTTCATGGGGAACACTTTCCTTCTGGCTTTTGTCGCACTCCCTGGGAAACAGTGCTCTTCGGGGTCACCCCAGGGGAGAAGAGTGCTGGTAGATGGGACGCTATCCCTGCCACCTTGGGTGGACACCACAGTGCGGCAGGACCTGCCTGGTATGAGTGTGCCCTCCCTACCTCTGCCCTCACATGCACACCTGTGCCCCCTCACCTATGTGCCCTTTTGCCGCCCACTCCCCTCTGCTGCTTTCCTGCATCCAGCCCCCACCAGGTATATATGAGCCAGTCCCATAGACCCCCCTCCATTCTGCATGAACGTCTTCATGGTCTGGCCTGTGGCAGGAACACAGACGTTCCCCCTCCACCTGCATGGCTGCCTGGGGTCACTCTAAGACATGCCCTATTTGCTGTGTGCCTCCAGGTAAGTTCCTGCCCTCTCTGGGCTGCCTAGACTCCCTCACCTAGACCCATAGCTGAGAAACCTTCTGAGAGAGCAACTCCCAGGGCTTCACAGCTCCTCCGTGCAGTGACCCCAACTCTCCAGAGCCAGAAAACCATGGACTTAGGAAAAACCCCATGACTCTAGGCAGGGGGGCCTGGTGATGCAAACAATTCACATGCTCAGCTGCCAACAGCAAGTTGGATGTTCAAGCCAACGAACCCCAGAATACTGCAGAAGAAAGGCCTGGTGATTCTTCTGAAAGATCAGCCAAGAAAACCCTCTGACACACACGGGGCACCGTGAATTGGGAGTCAACTCAGCAGTGAGGGTGGTGTGTGTGGGGTACATGAGGGAAATTTAAAAAGTTGGTGAGAAAACAATAAAAAGGCAATGGAATTTTGTGTGTGGGGATGCAAAGGGTGTGTGTGTGGGGTAAGTCTGTGTAAGACTAGGGTACCCCTCAACTCAACTGGTCTCACCTGGCCTGGCCAGCTGAGTAGCAACACAGGAAGCCAACCTCCAGTTCAGACACTGCCCGCTGTCCCCTGGGTCACAGAACTGACCCCAAGCTAAGAGGTCAAACGCGCTTTAATAAGGGGGTGCCTGCAGCCTGCCTGCTCCTGCCCCCCGCCTTGCTCTTCTTGGCGGCCCCAGCACCGGGCTTCTTCATGCCTCCACAGGAAGGGTCGGGCCGCAGGCCGGGCGCTGGGAGCTCGGAGGCTGGCGGTCCCAGCTGGGGTGGCGGCGGCTCCTCATCGAGCGCCCTAAAGTTGAAGAGGCAGTCCACGTTGGACACGGTGTCCAGGATCTCGGGCACGTTGTAGTCGAAGGACAGCAGCTCATCGGGCAGGTGCAGCGAACGGATGTCGCTGGAAGAGTCGTCGCCCCCGCCACCGCTGTCGGGTTGGCCAGCGGCCGGGGCCCTGCACGGGCCCCCCTCAGACTCGGGGCCCCCCGGAAGACAGTCAAACAGCTTCATGGCGTCCTCCAGCGGCACCTTGTCGGGCAGCACCGAGGCACCGGCCACCTCAGCTGGCGGAGCTTCGCCTGCCGCCAATGTGGGGGCAGCTGCCGGGGCCTCGGGCAGCGGGCCAGGCCCGGCGGGGGGCTCCTTGGCGGGGAATCCCGGGGGCTCCAGGGGGGCGCCCTCAGGCCCATGTAACTGGCTGAGGCGGCCCTTGAGGTGGCTGTAGGAGCTGGGCAGCTCAGCGGGCAGCGAGATGAGCAGAGGTGGCAGCTTGTCTTTGGGGGGCAGCGGCGGGGCCAGCTCCCGGAAGGCCTTGGGGCCCCCGTCCCCCACGAAGCCCAGAGCCTCGGGGCTGGGCCCCTCAGGTGAGAAGTAGGGCATGAGGTACTGAGGGGCCCCAGGTACCGCCTGGTAGTGGGGGTACGGGGGTGGCGGGGGTCCGGGCGCCTTGACGTAGTGCTGAGGCTCTAGGAGGTAGGTCCCGGGAGAGGCGGGGGCCCCCAGCGGCCCCCCATTGCCCACTGTCGCCAGTTTGTACAAAGACGACTGGCCGAAGTCAGAGGTCGCCCACTCGATGCGGTAGATGCGGGGGTCAAAGAAGCAGCCACAGGGCGCCATCTGGAAACCTAGAGTCAGCGTGGGGTGACTTGAGCTCCCATGAGGGTCAGGGGCCTGTCCTGGGGGTCACAGGGGGCGTGGTGGGGGCCAGGAGCCCTGTCCTGGGGGCTCACGGAGGACGTGGACTTGGGTCTTGCTTTCCCACCTAACCTGGGGGATGGGAACAGGGTTCCTCCTGGGGCCCAACAGGGGTCCTCACGGGGCCCAACAGACAAGGAAAGGTGGGCTGGGCTCCCTGGTACCCACTTGTAGGGTCCTTTCTGGAGGGGGGCGGAGCGGTACCTGCCGGAGGAGCCGGAAACGCCTCTTTCTCCGGGTTTGGGGAGTGATACAGATTCGAGGAACCTGCAGACAGAGGTGGTGGGCAGGTCCTGAGTAGGGTGGGCGGAGCCCTGGGTCCAGGTCCTGCCACATGCTGCTCTTAGGGGGCCCCTTACCCACTGCAGGGAGCGCCTCGGTACTGGTCACAGGCTGGCTGACGGGCCCCTCAGCGCTGTCCAGGCTCCCAGGGCTGAAGCCTTCTTGGGGAGCAGAGGACACATAGAAGGGTTTGGGGTGCTGCATGGGGAGGTTGGGGGGCCAAGTCCAGGACAGCCAGGAGGAGGCAGGTGGGAGGCAGGTGGCCCAGAACCTGCCAGATTCTGTTTGCCCAGTTACTCTGGGCAGCGAGTTCCAAGCAGCCGCCTGTCCAGGGACCAAGATTCCAGGGATGGGGGATGGGTGGGAGGCTGATGGGCATCTGAGGCCCATTAGAGACAGGTGTGGCTGAGGGTGGGCGGCACCCCTGCCTCCTGCTTGCACCCACAGGGCCCACCCAACAGCTCCCAGGCCACTTCCTCCAGGCAGTCCACCCTGATAGCCCAGGGTTTCCCTCTGGTGAACGTGGAGACGCAGAGGGGTGAGCGAGAGGTGCCGCACAGCGGGCACAGATGTAGGCAAGGGCCGGGCGAGCAGCCTCAAGGTACACAGAAAGGCCTCAGGGGTTAAAAGAATAAAATTTATTTTCTGTTGACGCACTGGGAAGACCCCACCCGGACCAGCGGCTATTTGTAGGAGTTGGCCTTGTGCTTGGGCAGGAAGACGAAGTTGGGCGGCACAGGTCCCAGTAGCATCTCACTGTGAGGGCGGGTGGGGTCAGGCTCAGTTTCCAGCGTCCATCACCCAGACCCCCACGTACCCCCCACCTCCCACTGCCTTGCAGCAGAGCCCACCTGAGGCGAACCCAATCGGCTGAGTTCTGGCTGGCCATGAGCGTCTCCAGATAATCGCGGCCCAGGTAGTAGGGCGGCCGCTCATTGATCCTCTGGGGAAGCCGCTCCAGGAGGCCCACAGGCACATACCTGCAGCAGGCCGAGAGAGGGCGTGAGCCAGGCGGAGGACCAGGTGCCTGCTCCCCTCTGTCCCTCACTGCCCACCTGCACAGGAAGGACAGCCACTCGAGCAGGAAGCGGCGGGTCTTCTCCACGCCTTGTGTGTCAGAGCCCCAGTGTTCCAGACCATAGTGTGTGAAGTCCCGCAAGATGTCCAGGCGTTCAGATGACGAGATGTCCCAGTGCCGCTGCTCCTTGATCTCCGTGAACAGCCATGGCTTCAACAGGGCACCCCTGCAGGCAGGGGAGGGTCAGGAGCGGCAAGCATCCGGTGTGGTCGACAGGCCGTTGCCAGACCAGGGCCCAAGATCCTACCAACACATGCCAGCGCCAAGGGGCCACTATACCCACAGCCACTGCTAGGCCTGAGACCAGACCCCAGACCCCACCTTCCAGGCCCACACTCATCACTCACCTGAGCCCAAGAAATCACCAAGAGCCCATACCCACCGCCAGACCAGAGCTCAAGACCCCGCAATAACCTGCTGAACCCAACTCCCCCCCAACCAGAGCCCAAGACCCAACCACTGTCTGCTGAGCCCACCCCCACCACCAACCAGAGCCCAAGACCCAACCAATGTCTGCTGAGCCCACCATCACCACCAACCAGAGCCCAAGACCCAACCACAGTCTGCTGAGCCCACGCCCACCACCACCAACCAGAGCTCAAGACCCCGCAATAACCTGCTGAACCCAACTCCCCCCCAACCAGAGCCCAAGACCCAACCAATGTCTGCTGAGCCCACCATCACCACCAACCAGAGCCCAAGACCCAACCACAGTCTGCTGAGCCCACGCCCACCACCACCAACCAGAGCTCAAGACCCAACCACTGCCTGCCAAGAGGCACGGAGCCTACGCCCAGCCCAGGTCCTGAGCCCACAGCCACTTCCCAGCCTGAGCTTGGCCCAAGCAGAGCAGTGCGGCTCTCTGGGCTGACAGCCCCAGCCTAAGCCAGAGTCTGGAGCCCCTAAAACTGCCACACCTCACAACTATCAAAGCCCAGGAATTTCTGTCCACAACTACCAGCTGCGGAAACTTCTGGCCCCTAAATTGCAGCCCCCAACCTTGCTCCGCCCTCTCCCTAGAGTCCACAGAGGACATGCAGCCTGACAGATGGGGAGCAGGTCAGGATTTTGTGTCCTAAGTGGGCCAGCACCAGTTCTTGGCACCCCTTACCACCCCAGGCCAAGGAGCTCTGGTAGCATAATGGTTACGAGTTAGGCTGTTAGTCTCAAGGTCAACAGTTCGAAACTACCCGCTGTTCCACAGGAGCGAGGATGAAGCTTTCTGCTCCCGTAAACATTACAACCTTGAAAACCCTATACGGGTCGCTATGAGTAGGAACTGACTCCACAGCATGTACACCAACCCAGGCCACTCACCGGGCAATCATGACCCCAGCGACACCAGTCTTCATGGCACGGTTTGCATCCTCATATGACAAGATGTCCCCATTTCCTGAAGGGACAGATGTGAAGGTGGCCAGGGGTACTGGGGTTTCCTGCCAGCCATGGCCTCCATCAGGCTGGGGGGTGAGGGTCCCAAGAGGGTGACCCCACCAAGCATGAGTTCATGGGGGCAGGGAGGTGTGGGCACCCACCGAACAGAGGCATGGGGTTGGCGGCCTCAACACATTGCTGAATGTACTGCCAGTCGGCCAGCTTGGTGTAACGCTGCTCCCGAGAGCGGCCGTGGAGCTGGGGGCGGGGGGTGCCACAGACGGACAGAGGCAGAAGGAGACCAAGACACAGGCTGAGAGAGAAAGATGTGGACAGAGACACAGAGAGAGGCAGAGACAAGAGAGACAGGGACACAGAGAGAGAGCCATGAGAGAGAGAGATAGCAAAGAAAGAGGGAGCCAGAGAGGAGGCAGGGTGGGGCGGGGAGCCGTTAGTGGGCAGGCCTGCGACTCGACGCCCCACACCCGCCAGCGCCCAGGGACTCATGGGAACGCACCGTGGCAAGTGCCACCCCCCAGCCCCTCAGCTCAGGCAGCAGGCGGTGGGCCACGTGGGTCCGCTCCTGGACACCTGTGCGGATCTTCACCGTCAGCGGCACATCCAGCACCTGTGAGGGCAGTAGAGGGTTGGGGGCGGGCCGGGGGGCTGGGTGGGGGGCCACGGGGGAACCTTGGGTGCACCTGGTTCATGCCGAGGACGATCTGCCGGAACTTGGTGGAGCGGTTCATGAGTGCACAGCCGCCACCCTAGGGAGCAGGAGGCCAGTAAGCAGAGGGACACACGTCCCCCACAGCCCACTGCTGGGCAAGCTGAAGCAGGAGGTCCACCGCCTTCCGCTGTGCCCACCCGCCCGGGCCCAGGGCCAGCCACCTTCTTGTACACGAGGTCGATGGGGCAGCCCACATTTATGTCCACGAAGTCCACGTCCACGGTGCGGTTCAGCAGTTCCGCACACCGGGTCATGGTGTCAGGGAAGGCGCCCTCCAGCTGCGTATGGATGGGGTGGGATGAGGGGCACGCCCACTGCTGGGCTCCAATCAGTGGCCTCCTGTCACTGCCCACCTCCCTACCCCCCAGGTCTAGGGACAGACAAGGATGAGTGGGACCCTGAAGTCCACCCACCCCACCTCTCTCTTTCCCTCACGGTGGCTGCTGACCTGCACCCCAAAAAGGTCCTCGCTTTGGTGGCGTTTGAGCAGCGCCCACTCAGACGTCTGGCCCTGCAGCAGGCTGGTACAGATGGCCATTTCTCCACAGGTTACATCGGCCCCAAAACGCTTACAGATCCGCCTGAAGGGCAGGTTTCCACACTGGGGACCGCAGAGAACCCACGTGAGAGCAGAGCAAGTGGGGACCCCTTCACAATGCTCGGGCACTGTTGGGGTGACTACCCCGCCTTGCCTCACCCCATGCGCCTCCTACCGTGGTGAGTGGTGCCAGGTACAATTTGCCACTAATGTCCAGCTGAAAGGAAAAAATGCAAAGTCAAGGTCAACCCCCACCTGGGATTGGGGGCCCCTCACACCTCCTCTTACCCCAATCCGGGTTGTGCTATGTCTAGCCCCAACCAACCTGGCACCCTTTTGTCTTGGGGCCTCTGCACATGCTAAATCTATAAGGCATAATTTCCTGCCTTCTACCCTATCAGAAAGCTCCTATTCAATCATCAAAGCCCCGTCTGTGATGCTGCGTCTTCCCCACAGATCCCCTTCGCCCCGGCCCTGACTGGGACTGGGCGTGTGGTCCGCTCATTCTGGTCCCCAGAGCGAAGCACGGAAAGGCAGTCCCAGCAAGACCGTGTGTCACCTACCCGTTTCTTCTCGCAAGGCCGAAGTCTGACTACATCCTCGTCTGTCAGGGGCCCACAGGTCTGTACGGGGCTGCCTGGCAGGGCTTGCTGGGCATCACCATCACAGGGCCCTGGAGCAGCCTCAGCCTGGACTGCCTCCCCGCTGGCAGCAACGGCAGGGGCGGGCCCGGGGGCGGGGCCTAACTGGCGCAAGGCCCACTCTGATCTCTCAAAGCGGACTTTGCGCTTGCGCAGCTGCTGCTGCAGGGCCTTGTCCAGGCCGTTGCGGACCCGTGAGGGTTGAACCCCTTGGGTCACCAGCTCCTCCCGCACCAGGTTCTGACCCTCGGGCCCCAAATGGGCCCCAGCGAAGCGGCAGGTCACACCATAGGGACACCGGCCGAAGGTTTCAAATAGCACACAGCAAGGGCCCAGGTCAGCTGGCTTGGTCTCCAGGTATCGGCCCACATCATGCAGGAAGCGGCAGCGGCCACCAAAGAAGCACTTGGCAGCTGAGCCCTGTGGGGATAAACAGGGGGCCAGGTGGAGCGTGAGGGTGGATGGCGAGGGGCTGAACCCGACACCCCTCCTGGCTGTATGGGCAAATCAGTTTCTTCATCTGTAAAATGGGAGCAGTCACCATACCTACGCCATGACATCACACGGGCTGAAGACCTGCAGAATTCTCTAGCATGGGTATCCCATGTGAAGGCCCCTCATGTGGCCATACCCACCTGGACCAGGGACGGGCAGAGCCGGTTCCCATCATAGTGAGGGGGCTTAAGGTGGGGCCGGCCCTTGTTCTGACCCCGAGCCCTCTTCTGAGTCTGAGGCTGCTCCCGGAACTCAGCGGCCTCCTCTGTCTGTCCAATCTCCAACTGTCCATCTTCCGCCGGTCCGTCCTCCACCCGGGCCCGCTTGGCCTCAGGCTCAGCCAGGTCCTGGCTATCAGGTCCCACCACCTCGGTTTCCCGGAGGACTTTCTCCTTCCCAGTGGCTTCCAGGAATTCATGGAACTGCTCCTTGGTGGCGAGGTACCTGCCAGCGAAGATGACCAGGAGAGGATGACTTATCCAAAGTCCCTCCTCTGAGCTCATTCTCAGTGAACCCCTGTAGTTGTTTTTAGTACTGTCGAGTCGGTTCCGAACTCAGAGCGACCCTGTATAGGGTTTCCGAGGAGCAGCTGGTGAGCTTGAACCGCCGACCTTACAGTTCAAACGGCTTTGCAGTCTGGCACATTAACCCACAGCGCCACAACAGTGTCCCTACTCTTACTTAAATGTTCCTGCTGATAGGAAGTTTCGTAGGACCAGCCAGTTACAGCGTGGGAGCACCTCAAGGCCATAAAAGGAGCTGCTTGATTCCCAGGTTGCCACTGCCCAGGGTTTGTGAGCTAAAACTCAGGGAATAGGCCCAGTGACGGCTATAACAATGGAAAACTACAAGTACCAGCATGACTTGCAGCATGGTCTACAAACGCCACACTTCCCAGCATGCCCTTCGGTTCTTTCTTCAAACACTGCAAGCCCCAGAATACACTGTGGCATTCGACTCAAATCCCTCCCATTCCGACATGCTCCGTGGGGTCCTTTGCGCATATGACAGCATACAACGTGCACTTTCAGATCCCCACGCTGACCCTGCGAGCCAAAGGAACGGTCCAGACAGTAGAGACAGACATTCCCACCCTGCCCCGCAGCACCAACTTCCGGCATTCACCGCTCGCGCCTTGCTACGGACAGTGGGAAGGCCTTTAGAGGCTTCTACTGGTTGCGGCGACTCACTGAGGTTTAATAGGCGCTACTCCCCGTTCTGGCGCGCTAACTGCTGAATCGCCACTGCCGTCTGCTGGAGCCTCTTCCGCTGCTCCCTCCGCCATCAGGCCCCCCTCAAGCTCTCTCCGGAGGGAGGGTGGCGGCAAAGTCTTCCGGGTCGCGCGCGTGTCTCCCTGTTCGAGTTGTATTCGCGCACATGCGCGGGTCACTCTATAGACGTCATTATACATGCGTCGGTGTGGTGGGGCGGGGCCTCGATTCATAACTATTTCGGAGCCTTTTGGAAAGCGCGCAAATTGTTAATTATCCTCAAAGAGATTGCAAACTTGCGTCTCAGGGTACAAAAGTGTTTTCCTGCTAGAATTTTTGAAATTTTAAATTCGACTACTATTGTTGTTGTTGTTGTCAGGTGCCATCGAGTCGGAACTGACTCATAGCGACCCCATGCACAGCAGAACGAAACAATGTCAGATCCTGGGCCAACCTCACTACCGCTGCCACACTTGAGTCCATCAATGATGCCACCTGGCTGATCCATCTCGTTGGGGGTCTTCCTCTTTTTCTCTGACCCTCCACCTTACTCTGCATGACATCCTTCTCCAGCGACTGTTTCCTCCGGACAATATGTCCAAACTAGGAGAGACGAAGCTTAGCCATCCTGGCCTCCAAGGAGCACTCTGGCTGCACTTCTTCCAAACCAGATCTATTGGTTCTTTTGGCAGTCCATGGCACTTTCAGTATTCTCCTCCAACACCACAACTCAAAGGCATCAATTCTTCTACGATCTAGCTTTCGCATCCATATGAGGCTATTGAAAACACCATGGCCTGGGTCAGGCGCACCTTAGTCCTCAAGCTGACATCTCTGCTCTTCAACACTTTAAAAAGTTCCTGTGCAGCAGATTTGCCCAGTGCAATACGTCGTCTGATCTCTTGACTGCTGCTTCCGCGAGTGTTGATAGTTGATCCAAGAAGAATGAAGTCCTTGACAACTTCAATCTTTTCTCCATTGATAAGAATGTTGTTTATTGGTCCAGTGGTGAGGATTTTTGTTTTCTTGACATTGAGATCTAATCCATATCGAAGGCTGTGCTCTTTGATCTTCATAAGTAAAGGTTTCAAGTCCTCTTCACCTCGACTACTCTTAGGCGTGGCTTTCAGTCAATAAATAATATGTTGAACCCCTGGTACCAGAGCTGTCTCCCAAGTGCTGGGGGTACAACTGAGGAAAACACAGACAAAAGTGCTCATGTAGGAACGGGAAAGACAGACACCAAGCATAGTATATAAGAAATGTGTAACCTGGTGTGGCGCCGTGGGCTAACGCACCAGACTGCAAAGCCATTTGAACTGCAAGGTTGGCCGTTCAAGTTCACCAGCTGCTCCTTGGAAACCCTACACAGGGTCATTATGGGTCAGAATTGACTCAATGGCACTCAACTGTATTTTGGATGGTAATAAAATGGGAGGGGGCTGGGGATATCACTTTTGGTCAATACATTTAAAATAGAATGATCAGGAAAGACTCTGCTGAGATGACATTTGAGTAAATACTGGAAAAGAGTGAGCGAGAGAGCCATTGGAATTTGGGAGGGAAAAGTGTTCCAGGTAGAGGGAACAGCCAGTGCAAAGGCCCCAGGGCAGGACTGGGCCTAGTGGGTTACAGAAGTACCTAGCAGAGGCCTGTGTGGTTGGAGGGTAGTGAGCAGGTGGGGAGAAGAGTCTCCTCCTTGTCCTGTTGTACCCTTAAACTCTCCGTTCCCTGAGACTCAATACAGTCCAGGGAGCTCAACGCCCTATATTCAGCCTTCCTGGTTGGTGTCCCAGTCCCACCATTTACAATTGGGAACATTGGGCATGTCTTTTAAGTTCAATCAAATGGGACTGATCCAAAGATTCTTCAGATCGTAAGGATTCATTGAGTTGCTGATATGGGCTTTCTAGTTGGTTCTGACTCATAATGACCCTGTGCGCAACAGAACGAAACACTGCCTAGTTCTGTGCCATCCTCACAATTTTTATGTTTGAGCCCATTGTTGCTGCCACGGTGTCAGTCCATCTCACTGGGGGTCTTCCTCTTTTTCGCTAACCCTCCACTTTACCAAGCATGATGTCCCTCGCCTGGAACAGGTCCCTGCTTGTCCAAAGTAGGTGAGACAAAGTCTTCTGGCTTCTAAAGAGCATTCTGACTGTACTTCCAAGACTGATTTTATTTGTTCTTCTGGCAATCCATTGTACTTTTCAGTACTCTCCTCCAACACCATAACTCAAATGCATCAATTCTTCTACGATCTTCCTTATTCGCTGTCCAACTTTCGCATGCATATGAGGTTATTGAAAATACCATGGCTTGGGTCAGGCGCACCTTAGTTCTCAAACCGACATCTTTGCTCTTCAACACTTTAAAGCGGATTGGCCTAATGTAAGACATCATTTGATTTCATGACTGCTGCTTCCATGAACGTTGATTGTGAATCCAAGACAAATGAAGTCTTTGACAATTTCATCTTTCCTCAGTGAGTTGTTAAGTGCCATCAAATTGGTTCTAATTCACAGAGACCCTGTATAGGATTTCTGAAGCTGTAAATCTTTCAAAAGCAGAAAGTCTTATCATTTTCCCATGGAGTGTCTGGTGGGCTTGAGCCATCTACCTTGTTCACAGTCCATTGCTTATCCTTTAGAGCCACAATGCCCCTCAATGAGTTGTTGTTGTTAAGTGCTGTTGATTTGGTTCCAACTCATTGCAAACCTGTATAGGGTTTCTGAGGAGCACCTGGTGGGTTTGAACTGCCAACTTTGTGGTTCTCAGTCCAGTGCTGATCCTAGAGCACCACACCAGGAGTTGTTGTTGTTGTTGTTGTCAGGTGCCATCGAGTCGGAACCGACTCATAGCGACTCCATGCACAGCAGAACGAAACAATGTTCGATCCTGGGAGTTGTTAGGTGCCATCAAGTCGGTACCGACTCATAGCAACCTTATGCACTACAGAATGAAACACTTCCTGATCCTGAGTCAACCTCACAATTGTTGTCACACTTGAGCCCATTGATGCTGCCACTTTGCCAATCCATCTCGCTGGGGTCTTCCTCTTTTTCTCTGACCCTCCACCTTACCAAATATGTTATCCTTCTCCAGCGACTGGTTCCTCCTGACAGTATGTCTAAAGTATGAGAGATGAAGTTTGGCCATCCTGGCCTCCGAGGAGCACTCTGGCTGCACTTCTTCCAATACAGATCTGTTGGTTCTTTTGTCAGCCCATGGCACTTTCAATATTCTCCTCCAACACCATCACTCAAAACCACCACTCGTCTGTCAGTTTGTCGTACTGTGGTGGCTTGTGAGTTGCTGTGATTCTGGAAGCTATGCCACCGGTATTTTAAATACCAGAAGGGTCACCCATGGTGGACAGGTTTCAGATGAGCTTCCAAACGAAGACAGACTAGGAAAAAGGAGTGATGAACTACTTCCGAATAGTTAGTCACTGAAAACCTTATGAATAGCAGAGAAACACTGGGAGTAGCAGTCAATAAATATTAAGTACCATCGTCTGTTGTTCTTACTGCTATTATTGGTCCTGAGCCATCTTCAGTAACACAGCTCAGGATGAGGGCACCCAGTGCCTACCGGCTTTCATCGCTGCCCTTGACAAAGCTACCCCCGGAGTAGGAGGGTACTTGCTTGAGGCTATCATGGATTTGTTTGTTTTTTAACTTTTTCTTGTGAATTGAGTGAAGGTTTACAGAGCTGATCATCAGTTTTGCATTACAGGGTTGCGATCCCTTCCAGGTACCAACAGTTAACAGTATTTACCTCCATTCATCTTAACTATTGCATTCCTCCTTGTGTCTCCCTCTCCCTTCATCCTTCCTCAGCTAACCTCCTTGTTAACATATTACCTCCCTGTCACCCATGTTAACAAGTGCTTTTCCTCCCCACCCATCCATAACCATCGTAGATTATTTAATCATGAAAACCCACTTAAAAATGTTTTTACAACATTGGTCTCATACAATATTTGTCCTTTTGTGATTGAATAATTTCACTCAAGGAGTTCTGGTATGGCGCTGCGGGTTAATGCACTGGACTGCCACGTTGGTTTGAACCATAAGTTCAGCTGTTCAAGCTAGACGGAAACCCTATACAGGGTCGCTATGAGTTGGAACTGACTCCACAGCACTTAAAAACAACAACAATTATACTCAACATAATGTCCTCCAGGTTCAACCATGTTGCGAGGTGTTTCACAGATTCATCCTGATTCTTTAATGTTTTGTAGCATTTCACTAAGTGTACCAAAGATTGTTTAACCATTCTTCTGCTGGGAGTTTAGACTCTCTTCGTCTTTTTGATAGGTCTCTTATAGAGGGCATATTGAAGGATACAGTTTTCCCTCTCCATTCTGCTCTCTATGTATCTTGCTTGGTACATTTAATCCGTTGACACTCAGTGTAATTATCACCAGACATGAATTGATTGTTGTCATTTTCTCTGTGTGTTTTTTGTGATGATCCTAGATTCTTTGTGCTGACTTCATTTTGTTTGTGAGTTTCATTTTCATTTCTGTTGTGTTATGTTTACTAAATCTTCCTGATTTTCTTCTTTTTTAAAAGTTTGATGTACAGGTGCATTTTCTTTGAGGTTACCCTCTAATTTATTATCTCCCCCCCCACACACACACGCACTTAAAAGAGTCTGTTTTACCTGGGAATCTACTTGACTTCCTTGCTATTTGGAGGTTCTGTATCTGCACTATTCCCCTCCCTTTTTTCTTTTGTAGTTGACTTCATTATACATTGATATCTCTGGTTCTCTGTTTTCAGTCTTGTAGGTTTGTTTTACCTTACATACTTCTATATCTGGATTAAGGAGCTCTGGTAGTGTAGTGGTTACAAATCGGGCTGCTAGCCTCAAGGTCAGCAGTTCAAAACTACCAGCCATGCCGTGGGAGAAAAATGAGACTTTCTGCTCCCGTAAAGAGTTACAGCCTTGGAAACCACAGCACATAACCATATCTGGATTAAGTTTTGGGTGGTGTCGTGAATGGTAATCTCAGGTTGTTGTCTGCTGCTGTTGGTTCTCGGTCCAAAGAACACCCTTTAGCATT